TATTCCATGCTAAGAAAGAGGAAAAGGAACTTTCGTCAGTGACCCCATGCATATATCATGGCATTTCATGTCCACAAAGACAACTCTCCATATGTATTCTAATTATAGATGTATCTTTTCAATTCAAGATTAACCTAGGTACAATATGTAATATCATTTGTGGAAGAGTGTTATACATATATTTTCATAGTTCAAGTATGTCATATAACAACCATTTTACATTTTCATTATTTTATCATTAAATTCGAGACAAAAGATTTTAAAAATCAGTAAAAATATAACAAGTAGCTATGAATTTACAAAATTAAATGAAATAATTTAGAGCTGTCTTAGATACATATACTTTCAAAGTGTAACATGTACATGTATATGATAACTTTCTGAAATTATGTTTATTATGAAACACAAGAAAGAAAATAGAAAAAGATACACAAAGAAAAAAACTTTTAACAGATACAAATGGAAAATATTGGTTCAGAACTCGGAATAACCAAATTTACATACCTGCAGCCAAACAAATGTGCCAGAAATCATTGATGTCGAACGGATAAATTTAAGACGAATTGTTAACTCGTGAGGCAATAGGAAAGGAAAAATTGAATATATATTTTCATCATTTTTCAATATGAAAACCACCTTTAACAAAAACTAATCTAAATGTGATGAAGTGCAGTCATTTCTTAATAAAATTATTCAAATATTGTTTTTCTGGTTAAGGGTGATCTTTGTCAACAGTTTGTCATCAGGTAGATGCTTCAATATTTACTATATACAAACTCGCTGATTTTCATATTTATCATATAAGGGAAATTTTAACATTTAAGTATCATTATTGCATAATTTGATTCTACACAAGTATAAACTAAAATTGTATGACAAACTTTTGGTTAAAACAAATGTAATTAAGAAACCACAACTAGAGTGGGCGAAAATGCCTATCAAATGCGCTATGGCTCTTTCAGCTTTCGCAGAACTCTAAAGCGAAGTTCAGAAATGAAAAGGACCTACTTTACAATTGTTCAGATCACAATATACGTTTACCTGTAAGACTTTTACACATATTATAATACAACATCTAAATTTAAAATTTACTGTGCTAAAACATTTTGAACGTAAAGACAATTGTAAAAGGCACATATTTTGCAATCAATACTTTGCTGGAACATATCCAAAAAAGGAATTTAAAATATATACATATGTAGTAAAAATGACGTAATTTTATCAATTATATTTGAAATATTAAAATTGTATGTTACTCTTATATGCAATGTACTAGTTGACACTGATGTGTGTGGTTTGTAGAGTTTGTTTACCAGTACTTGTATAAAGGATGGCCACTCTTGTCAAAAAAGTACATTTCAATTATCTTTGTTTATATTACAATATCATAAAGGAAATTGGTGGTCAGTATGCTTATTGTTAGACTAGGAAGTGCTGAAATTGACAGTTTTACACTACAATTCAAAAGAAAGCTATCTCAGATAAACTTGATTGTTTGAATTGCAACACCTGTATTTATAAGTGATTCAGAGTAATTCGGTTTATAACAAATTATGCAGAAATAAAGCAGTTTTATTTCTATATAATTACTCTGAATTACTTATGAATGCATTTGTTGCAATTCAAACAATCAAGTTTATCTGAGATATTTTATTTTTATATAATGAACATGTAACATCGGAACAAAAAGACAAAGTGTTCTTTCTATTTTAGGTGTTTTATTACATGTAATTAGTACATGTAATATTACACCTAAAATAGAAATAACACTTGCTCTTTTTGTTCCAATGTTATGTGTTCAATATACAAAAACCCCACAATATATGGCAACTGAGATGTAACAATTCTTTTCCGTATACTAGTAACAATTTTAGATCTGAAATGCTTTATGTTGCGAATCATCTTTGAAAAACAAATTCAAAGTTTGGGAGGAAACTCTGAGAATTTGAAATAAGGAATTTTGATTATAACATTTACCCAAAATTGAACAATAATTGTAAATATGTTTGCATAATTAGTTTTTTATAAAGGATAAATCTTTTAATTCATTTAGAAAATTCTTTGTGGCTTGTAGACTATACGATATTTTATAGTTGACAAGATAAATTCAAAATGTATATATTTCATACTCATTTAGTCCAGTAATGAAGTAAACTTTATTAATTTTTAATATTTAAGAAAAGTAGAAATTTTGTAATGAAAATACTAAAACTATAATCCAGAAAATTCAGAGTAGAAATATGAGAAAGGAAAACCAACTCACCAATATTGTCAGCCCGTGCTCAGTGATGTATGCAGAGTAAACAAATTGAACACATCCGCTAAAACATTAACAATAACAGAGCTCGTTCTCTGCAGGCATGTTCACGACACTTTCCTAAGACTAGTTCCAAGATCATTCTTAAAACATAACTTAGGAATAAAGTTAGGAACATCCTAAGGTCAACTTAGGATATATCATAAGATGTAGCTCGACGGTATCTAAGGAACGTCTTAAATTAGGACATCCAACATACAATGAACACTCTTGTTTCTTCACATTTATCTATACATGTAAAATATTGGTGACCTTTGTAGCCAAAAAAATCTTTTACATAACATGAAAAAAATTCCATTTACATGTACATATGACTTCAGTATATTTTAATGTTTGCATCTTTATTTTCAATATATATTACCGCATGTAAATTGCATCGAAACAAGAATTTTTTTTCTACCAAAGTGAAAGATTTAAATTAAAAAAAAAATCAAATGTCAAAGTTTAATCCCGAAAATTTCAATTTTTGGCTAGTCAATTACATTTTCCTGTCTCCTTACCATTAAAAACAATTATTTATTCTCCCCTTCCCTAATTTGAAAAAATATGAATAAGAAATGAAAGTCGAAATTTTTAAGTGGGAAATTCAGGTGCTTTTGATGAGGTAGAAAAAAAAGAGATATCATCTTCTGTAAATTATCGAACATTGAAACTACTGTGGCAAAGAAGAGGCCTTTAGGTAACATTTGTGAAAAACTGATTTGTGTATATCATCAGCTCATGCACAGACTGCTGAGGAACAAGAAATTGTCGCTAATGCATGCAATATTCAAAAACATAAGTATCACAACAAACTTGGGATGATCCAAGGACAAGATTTATGTTGTCCTTAAGATAGGAAAAACTTATGGCGAGGTACCGGTCCTAAATTTAGGAAAGCTTCGAGAAACGTACTTAAGATTATGACATTTCCTAAGTTGTTCTTAGAACACACCATAGTCCTAAGATAATTTCGTGAACATGCCTGCTGTTCACAAAGAAAGATGTTTGACGTGATCTTATGAACAAATGAGTTCTGGATGGAATCTAAGAATATTTATGTAAGTTCAATTCATTAACCTTAAGTTATTTTTTGAATAAAAATAGAAATTTAAAATTGTAAACAAAAAAAAAAGGCTTTGGAAATTATCCCGAGCCCTTTTAAGTAATAAACATACTAGTACATTTTTAAATAACTGTATCTTTATAAAACTTGAAGAGTTGAAGTATTACTATTCGTTTTAAGATTTAAAAATCCCGAGATAAAACCCATATGTTAAATTTATTGCATCATGAAGATGCATGATATAACACGACAAATATATACATGAACAATTGAGTTATAAATAAAGTAAATGTATAGAAATTCTTTATTCTCATACACAGGGAAAATATCAAAAATAACCCTTGTCAATATTCAATAAACTCCCATACTAGCTGATATGAAGAGGTGCCAGTCAACAAAACTGTGGCCTTTCACAAAATGTTGTTATGCGTGGTGGTTTATAATAACATGGAAATCTCACGATAAATACATGTATTGCATTTTTACGAGTTACTAGTAGTTTTATTTTATTTTTGGTTATGATAAACGACTCTCACATTTGTACAAATATGTATGTAAAGGGAAAAATGATAATAACAATAGGAATAAAATAGAATAAAATTCACTCTGGTAAAGATAAGTGATCGACAGATATACTGATAAAATTGAGGAGAGTTACAAGGCAGTGGTCATTTTTCGACCATTTAATCAACCTAAAGAAGAAGGGCACTGTGTTAAGCTATTGGAAAATACAATAATATTAAAGCTAGATTATTCTTTTTTCTTTATTAAATAATTGTCAGTGCAGCATGATCGTGGTCATTTTTAGACTATTTAAACCTAAAAAAAAGAAGGGCTCTTAATTAAATTATCGGAAAATAAATAAATATTAAAGCTTGAATTTGCTTTTTTCTTTACTAAGTAATAATGTATGACTAGAATAAAATTAACATTTTTAGGTGAATCTGTTTGGTAATTTGACAGATAAATATACGATTATACTTTTATATAAATTACATTCCCAAAGTTAATTTCCATCTTTTCAGAAGTACCTCTTGAATGAAAAAGCAGTGCCTAAAATTCAATTGTGGGTAACAATTATTACAATTAAGAAATTTATGAAAAAAAAACCCCACTTAAACTAGATAAATTTCTTGTTTATGTTGCCTGGAATACTATTATACGATAGATAATATCATAAGTAGATTCAATTTATTTTTATTGTAAAATAAATAATAAGATTTTAAAGTGTATCAGATATTGTTAAATTCAAACAAATTTTAATCAATTTTAATTTGTAGTCTTTGTTCTTGTTATTATATGTGTAATATTTCCTGTATTCTATGTATCTTCACGAAATGCATCTTATCAGTACCTTCAGTACTCTGATTTAAACTAACAAATACGAAGGACATTGTTTAACGTGGCCATAACAATTAAATAAAAAAGTTAGTAAGCATTATTTGTAAATAAAAATTCATTTCCACTTAAAATACACGTACATTTAGATTGTTAAAATTTTGACAATAGATAAAATGAATAAATAAATACTGTGTATGTACACAATGTTACAAGGATTACCTGTGCAAAATAGACAGGTGTTTAGACAAGTAGTAAATAGATGACTTGTATTTTTCAAACTGTCTACATATGATTTTTTCAATTATTCTGTATAGCATTATCCTTTGTAGATTTTTTTGAAATGGCATCCTCATAAGAGTTATCTCCCGTTCCATTTCTGGCGTCCTTGGGGGACATTTTATACTCACTTTCTGTTAAGTCTTTGCTTTGTTTCTTTTTTGCCATGTTCTTAATCATCTCATACTCGTAATCAGTATTTAAAACGTCTTTCTGATTACAAACTCCACTGAAGTCATACGGGCTGTTTTCGTTCTTGAATTTATCATAACAAGAATCTTGAGTGGGTTCAGTCGAACAGGTTTTATGTTTCCTGTGTGATCTTAGCAAATCGTACTCCCCCTGTTCTAAGTCATCGTAACACTTGTCTGAATGGTCTACCAGGGCATAGTCTTCATGACCGTTTGTGGAATCCTTTAAACTCTCGTTAGAGCTTCCATCTCCTCTTCCTTCTGCTGGTTGGTTGATAATTACATCCTCTAGATGATTTTGACAATTAACAGGATTTTTTGGAAGAATTTTCCTTTTCTTCAGAATTCTGTTATAAATAAATAAATAAATAAATATATATATATATATATATATATATATATATATATATATATATATATATATATATATATATATATATATATATATATATATATTACTACATTGCTTTGAATAACGTAAAAGAATAAGTTAATTAATATATTGTGACATATTCCTTTAACCGAGGTCTACGTGTACAGGTATACAATTCATGTACTATTGCAAGGGCTTTCAACTGCAGTATATACACATTTAATAGAATATTTTCCGACAAAATAACAAAATATGTTTTTGCATGACATAGTGCTGGAGTGGTTACTTGAGTAAGAGGAGAAATTCGCTACCTGTACCCCTCTCTTATACTTGCAGTAATCGAGGGAAATAATCAAAAAGACCTTGTGTTTTCGGAAATCAATTAAATGCGTCTAATCTGTGATTGCATTAAACGATATCATTTGTCATAATTGATTCAACAGTTCAATTTTCATTCCATCGATTTCATAATCAAAATGATATGTAGTTAAGGAAATAATTTAGAAATATTTTTTAAAATTCATAGAAATGTAATGAAATGACATTGGAAAGCGAAGTCTAATAGGTTTGTTTGGCTCATATGACCTTGCTATTCCATCACTTTTTTATCCGAAAGAAATTGTTTTTCTCAAGACAATTCAAATAGGTTTGTTATTGCTAATGACATTGTCTACAGAATAGCAAGTATAATATTATTATTTATGAACTCTTCCCATTCAAACTCTTTCTGAAAACCAAATGAAGGTGATGACGTACCTTGTCTTGAAGCATATTACAATTGTGATGATAAACATAAATCCAACGATGCCGCACATGATCTTTGTATATATGTCTGCTAAAATCATACCTGATAGAATAAAAGACAATAGATTGACTACAGAGTATAATCAAAGAGTAGTTAAGTACGTAAAGTGGTAAAATGTGTGATGTTTGATACCTAACACTTCGACAGTCCTGCTATCGGTTGTTGTGCTAACGGTTGTGGTATAGTATTTGACTGTGCTATTAGTACTAGAAAGGATCGTTGAACTAGTTCCCAATGTTGAGCTGTCTTGGAATAAATACAAATCAAAGACTCGATAAAAGCCTAGTAAATTAAGACTAAAATAGCTAGGTTAGATTAATATCTTTCTTAAACAAAATATCTTAAAAATCATTCAAAACTTCTAGTTATGAAAAAAAATACATGAAAAAATAAATCAAGAATTCTAATACCTGTTGTGGTTAGTGTCATAGTAAAAATTGATCTCTCAAAAATAGTTCAATGAGGAAATTTTTGAAAGCTATGTACAAACGACAGATTCATATAATTCCTCTTCCTCATTTGAATGATGTGAAATATATTGCAGAGGACTTGTGAGTTACATACTAAAGTAAATAGCATGAACAGAGCAAGAATCATGCAAGTGAGAACATAAATCAATACGTGTAGCGTACATGTACATGTAGGTGCAGGACAGGGCAGATTTAAGGGGGGGGTCTATAAAAAATCAAAAATGACACTGGAGCACCCCCAGGACACACACAGACCACTCGTAAAATTTAAATGTAAGTCATGTATATGAAAGAAATTGATTAAAAAAAGTGACTTGAACTATCCCTCTTTTCCACCCAAACTCCACCCCCTACGAAGTAGGTTTGGGGACTTTGTATGCATGTACTTTTTTTCTTTTACCGAGTCCGATAATTGCTCAAGCTGGTGTGTAACCCCCCCCCCCCTTTTGGAAAATATTCCTGGATTTGCACATGTATGATTACAATGGAATAGTTCATTTGCATTAAAATTCTAATTTGACCAAAACGATCAGCAAACGTGTTTTGTTACCTTCATCATCAGCAATGGCTCTTAAGGCAGTCAAACGTTGCAATATTCGATTTTTTCACCATTTGTGTTCCATAATTTCCATTGTTATAGTATATTTCAAATTTGTATTGTACATTTATTTTATTTTCATTTTACAATTTTTTTCTCTATTTTTTGTAAAGCAATATGAGCTGCATTTTTGAGAATTTTATTTTGCTATTAAAATGTGCTGTTATGATAAATCTGTATGTAATCTAAACTTTATGATCAATTAGACTAAAATAAAGTATATATTGATTTTTTTTTCAAAAGAAAGGTTTCTGTACAATGGAATGTATAGTATTATATAAGAAATCAGTATTGTACAGGACGACAAATAATGTAATTTTGCTTCAATCAAAGCTTCTAAATAGTTCTTCCATTGCAAAAACGAACAACAGAAGTTTATAAATGCTCTTTTTCTGTCATTGAAATTGTTAATTACAATTTTGCCACATTAATTTCCGACATCAAAGTTACAGCTCATATTGCTTTAATTTGTATATTATAATTTTAAATTTTTTCTATTTAGTTATTTAGAATTCTATTATTTCTATTTTTATTCTATATTTTGTTAATTTATAATGTATAATTTCCATTTGTATTGTATGGTACACATTTTGCATTCTATAATATTTCAGTATGTATTGTGTATGAAATCAGTTTGTTTTAGATAATAAAACTTAGGGTTATTTGTATTTTAAATGCATCTTTATTTTTCAGTACTACTAGTATGCGCACCTGATCATGTAGTTGAACTAGTTCCTAGTATCGTGATGCGTTGAAATAAATACAAAGCAAAACTTCGATAAAACCTCAGTCAATTAAGACAAAGAAGTTTAGATAAACTACATCAATACTTGTCTTAAACAATATATCTTAAAAACCATTAAAAACTTCTTGCACAAGCAAGTAAAAAATACATAGAATAATGTTAAGAATTTTAGAACCTGTTTCGGTTAATGTCATAGTAAAATTTGATCCATCGATATTTACATTGAAAATAGCTTAATCAGGAAATGTCTGAAAGCAGCTATATTCCAATTTCAGATAAATCTACACAAAAAATATAATTCCTCTTCCTCAATTATATTGCAAAAGACTTATGTGTTGCACAATAAAGTAAACAAAATGAGCAGAAGAATCGCAGTAGCGTAGAAACAGAAAAACAATGGACAAAGGTATTTACTGACACACCATATTTACTGGGCACAACCTAACACCAGAAAAAAAAAAACCCAAAAGTAAACCCTGGGCCACTTTGCGTTTGCTCAGAGTCTGCTGTTTGAAAAAATGGGTGCGATAGAAAAAGATTTTACTCCTCTTTTTGCAGAAAGTTCAGATATATTTTAATTTGTGACATTCATCATTCACAAGGTTTTTATGGCACGTTAAACATTGCAATATTTGCACTTTATACTTTTCCATTTTTATAGTATATTTTACAATATGTATGGTGTATTTTTTATTTGTATGGCATAATTTTTCATTTGTATTTCATAATCCTTTTTTATTTGAATTCTATAATTTTCCATTTCTATACTATAACTCTCCATTTGTGTTGTTTTTTTTTTCCATTCAGTATTCTATAATTTACATATTGTATACCATATTTCATTTATTATATTATTTCCATTGTATTACATTGCATTGTATAATACACCATATATATTCTGTAATATTTCAATTTGTATTGTATGTGAATTGCATTCGTATTCGATGTATTTCATTATTAGAATTGTGGAATATGTTTATTTTTTACTTGTCACGATGGATTTAATTGGTCGAAAAATTTTGGGCTGTGCTGAGTAATGGCGACTTATCGTTTAAACATATAATTTTCAAGTGAGTTTTACATAATTGTCTTAAATCAGTATTTTGCTTTCATAAATATTAGGATTGAAAAAGGTTTTTACTACTATTAAATATTTTTTTTTAATTAAGCGATAAGTCGCCATTTCTCTGAACCGCCTGCAAATTCTAGACAAACGAATCTTAATAAAATAAGAATAAAATAAGAATAATCTTTATTCATGAATAGGCAATGTGCATGGTGATGTGTGTAGTACAAATTAAAACAGGGTAGACATAATATTAAGCAATATGCCTTAAACTGACTGTCTAATAAATCTTGACAGGAAAAATAAATATATCCCACAATTCTAAAATACAAATGAATTTTGTTATCGAGTATAAATGGAATTCACATACGATTGTATGATCCTGTACAAATGTGAATTGAACAATATAAACTAAAAGTACTGTGAGCACTGATCTCACAAAATGATACCCCCCTCCACATATGAGTATAATGGCAAAGTCCACGTTTTGCTTTGGGAAACTCCAAATAGCTGTCCGATCAAAATGTACATAGGCAATTTCGCCACATATGATCCACATATGCATTGCTTTTCATATGAGGATCATATGAGAATCATATGTATATTCAATCATATGAGTACCATATGTGGCAAATCATATGTGGATCATATGAATACGCATATGTAAATCATATGAAGCAATATACATATGATCCACATATGAAAAGTTCTGCATATGAGAATCATATGCATACTTTGAGAATTATCATATGAGAATCATATGAAACAGATATGTGTGTGTTTATTTATTTGTCCTTGTTATAAGCAGGTAAAATTCATTTTTTTTTTAATTCAATGAGATAAAAAAAAATACGTTTATTCACTGTTAATCAGTTAACACTTGTCAATGAGTAATTTCATATTAAGCTTAATATGATTAAGTTGGTGTTATATTTTAACAAGAAGACTGCATGATTAAAAAATAATTTCAATAACATATATCAAGATGTGTAAATTTAAATGTATATTTATTCAAAAGAATCAAGATGTTCATTTCCTTAAGAAGCTTGTATAAAAAGGGAATAAGTACTCTGTTACCCCACCCCCCACCCCCAAAAAAAATCCTTTCATAAAATTCAAAATTTGTTTTCTTGAAAAACAAAATTCATCAAGAATAAATTGATTTGTATTTTATCTAAAACCGTTATGGTTGGTTTTATTTTATGAGTAAAATTAAAATCATTCCACATTTTATTTACGGACCGGTTTCGGTTTTTATCAGATGAAAGTGTACGTCATGTTTGACGTCACTTCTGCAGCAGAAGAGTTGGGTGTTGAAAAAAGTAAGTGATTTCGGATACGTTTTGAAAGACTTTTTAAAGGCTAGTTCATTGTGTTTAGATCATTTCTTTACGGTAACAGATCCGTATAAACTTTCTAGTACTCTCATCACTTGTATATAATTGTTAAATTAATGCAGTTCGTCAAAAGCCGATAAACCTAGTGATCAATAAATTACTTATTGAATAAGTAATTATGTTTGTTAACGATGAATGTTTAGGCCATTTTGCATCACTTATTTATCAGATTTGTTTCCCTTTTGTTAACAGCTACGCTTGAATATTTATATTCGATATGAAAGTGAAAGTAGAAACCTTGTAAAGCAGTTAACGTAAAATGTTTGTTGAGATCGTTATTCATTCGGTTCTTTCATCAAATGAATGAGAAACGTGTTTTAAATAATGTATTTAGGAACTGAGTTCAGTGTCACAGTGCTGTTTTTGTATTTCTTTTTTTTTTTTGTTCAAAGAACCCCAAAGCTGATTAGACTGACGATTGAACACAAAGCTGATTTGACTGACGATTTAAACCCAAAGCTGGTTTGGCAGACGATGCAATGCAGGTAAAAATAAATAAATAAATAAATACATTAATCATCACAGTATATATAGTAATGACTTAAACATATATCAAAAACTAAATATCTATAGAACAAATCCAGCACACTAATAAAATATATATATAAGTATGAAAACATATGAAAATATGTAAGGCATATACATGTATTATAGAACTTGCTGGCTATAAAAACTGTGAAGAACTATAAAACTATACATTATCTTCTGGGGGATAATGACTTTTAGCTTAATCAGACATTCAAGGTACTATTACATGTGCATTGAAAGTACATTGTATACATTTTCATGTACTTTGGTTAATGATTTGGGGGTCTGCATCAAGCAGAAATGGATTATATATATTATATCTATTATTTTTTTTATATAAATTAAAAATTTGCAGAGAGAATGTCAATTGGCTTAAAGAAAGATTTAGCATCAACCCCTGGATTTCTTTTAAGGATACAGATTAGTACAGGTATGATGAATATAAATGCTATAGCTAACTACATGTATTTTGCAAGAATTGTGCATCTAAGTAGATGCACTGAGCATTTAAGTAGATGCACTGAGCATGTATGTCATGTTATATGAAACTAATAAAGTTTATAGTCAATATGTATAATAGTGAACCATTTTTTCTTGAAGAATCTTGGTATGTGTTTGATGTTATAGAAAAATAAGTGAAAAATGCATTGCTTTATTCATTCAGGAGATGCTCAGCAATCTGGCAAAGAAGGCTGGCTGGACATGAAATGTTATGGGAGTTATGTCTAGCTTTGGATCCACTGAATTCACATATTACAGAAATCGGATCAGAGCAAAGGTGTGCACACATTTTATTTATATATGTTACATATCATCTTAAGAAGTATCAAAGTCTATTGCTAAATTGAATTACCTTGTCAAAACAAAATTTTGCACTGCATTCCATTTAAGCTATACATTGTGATTTGAATTGTTTAGAAAAAAATGTTTTAGCTGATGGGTAACAAAGACGTTGATGTAGAGGGTCCCTCCATTAAGTCTCTACATAATTATCGATGAAAATGTTTCCTTCCTCCTACAATTATGCTAACAAATCCAGAGAGGGAATACTTCACACTGATGCAAGTATGATGCTAGTGTGAAAACAGTAAGAGTCAACATTTTAAATTGTAAAAATATTGATGTTTAACTTTAATGTTAAAATTTTGAGATATATATTTGTTTATTGGAAGGACATCTTTGCTAGTAAATATGATCAATGATAGAAAATTAGTTCATGTTTGTTGGATGTCACAAACAATTTTTCCAATCATATTCATCTTTAGAATCACTTGAGCCTTCAGCTCAGATGAGCTAAAAACAAGTACTTTCATTTTAAATGAAAGTACTTGTTTTTAGCTCATCTGAGCCGAAGGCTCACGTGAAGTTTTCTGATCAAAATTGTCCGTTGTCCATCATCATCATTGTTGGCATAAACTTTTCACATTTATGTCTTCTTCTCCAGAACCACTGGACTAATTTCAACTGAACTTGGCAAAGAGGACCAATAGTAAGGTACCAGTATGGGTTCAAAGTTCAATCTATAGATTATATAGGGTGAAGTCTTTAAAAATCTGCTTTTCAAGATCTACCACAGTACAATTTGTGATATTATTTTGCAAACATCCCTATGCAGTGTTGTTTCAAGTTTGTTGAAACAATGACCACTAAACCACCAGTGGGGCCCCTGAAGGGTTGCAAAGTTTTACAGAGTAATTTTTACTTCTGTATAGGAAAAAATTAAGTCTTTTTAACAAATTCTACATTGCTACAATAGTGGGGCCTAAGGAGGGAGTTTTGAGTAAATTTGATCAGTATGGAACAAATATCAAAAAAATACTTTTGCAATTTATTCCAGCACTTTTTTTGTATTGACACACATTTCACAAAAGCCACTTGTGTCAGAGTTAAGTGAGTTTGCCATTGTTGCTCAGGTGAACAATGTGGTCCATGGACCTCTTGTTATTATTATTAATGCTAATTATTTTAAAAATAATTTTTAGAGATTATTCTGTGCCACAAACAAATTGTTCAGAAAGGGGACATTGGTGGATTTGCATTCTGGGTACAGTTCAAAGAATTTTCAATATGATGATGGAAGATCAGAGGGAGGACAAATGGGAAAAGTTGACAGAGAAAGAAAAGAATTAGGAAATATCTGGAATGAATATGAATGAGAAGGATGTACTTAATTTTGTCAGACTTTGACATGCAAGGCTTTCTACATTTATATGTATACTGGAATATCATTTTGATTGTAAAATCTCATTCTAATGTATTCACATTTTATATTTCATGCTTTATGCATAAATACATAAACATTTTTATGAAAAACTATATATATGTATATATGTATCTTTGTTCGATCGAGACATCATCCTTTGTGATTTCATACTCATTTATGTGTTAAATATGCTGTAGGTACATGTAATCTGAATTACTTATGTTTTGTCCTAAATTTACAATAGAGATTACATATATTGACAAATGTTGTTGCAGATATTTCAATTTTGCTAAGGACATTTCCATGTCATATAGTATTTTTATACAAGTTCATGATCTAATTATGTTATTCATTGGTACATGTATACATGTTCATCTCCTTGATCATTTTGCTGAAATCCTTTCAAATAATTTGTACTCGTTTTAGAATATGTAAAATACATGTATCGACAAATGCTACTGACTTCTTTGTATACTTTCTTGTTTAAAGTGTGCACTGTGTGATATTAGTTATTTCTGTTGATGAAGATACTTTTGAAAAATTGTGCAAGCATTATCAAATATTTACAGGTATTTAACAGATCATTGGAATGTACTGAAATTTCATCTAAAGCAGAAATACCTGATTTTCAATGTGTACAAGTGTGTATTTCCTTTTGATAAATATGAAAAAAAAAACCACATAAATGTTTCATATGATATACATATGATGCCCATTTCATATGATTCTCATATGTAAATGGCTTGAAACACACTAAAACTTTTCATATGCAAATCATATGAAATTCTTTTCATATGATTCACATATGTGAATCATATGTGACTGATATGATTTGCTTCATATGATTCACATATGATGCCCTTTTTTTATGATTCTCATATGAAACCAATCATATGATTCACATATGATACACATATGTGGATCATATGTGGCAAAGTTGCCTGTGTATAATACGAGGTCACAGTGACACTATATATAAAGATTCTGTGAGAGTCTCATTAAATTTTATTCAGTGGTGTAGTAAGAGTTGCGGATAAGAGATGGATACCCCATATATTAAAGAAAGAATGGCATTGTGTCCATGACCTGTTATGGGAAGCCCCAAATATGTATCTGATTGAAACGCAAAATAGGAGGTGCACAATGGTACTATATGATAAAGATTCTGTAAAAGTTTCACTAAATTGTATTCAGTGGTATAGGAGGATTTGCGGATAAGGGAAGGCTACCCACAAGTGTAACAGACGTAAGGACGGAAAAACACCCCAACACCATATAATATTGATATATAACGAAATATAGAATACAAAATTCAAATAGAAAACTAGAGGTACTGTGAGCACTGAGCTCACAAAATGATACCCCGTCTCCCATATTTTTGTAATAACAAAGTCCATATATGGTAGACTCAAAATATGTGTCCGATCAAAAAATAAAATAGGAGGTGCACAATGACTCTATGAAAAGATTCTGTGAAAGTATCATTAAATTTTATTCAGTGGTATAGGAGGAGTTGCGGATAAGAGATGGATACCCCTCAATACTATAGAAACTAGAGGTACTGTGAGCACTGAGCTCACTAAATGATATCCCCCGCCTCCCATATGATTATAATGGCAAAGTCCATGTTTTGCTCTGGGAGACCCGAAATAAGTGTCAGATCAAAAAGAGAAATAGTGGTGCACATTGGCATTATGTAATAAAGAATCCGTTGAAGTATCATTAAATTTTCTTCAGTGGTATAGAAGGAGTTGCGAATAAGAGATGTGTACCCTTCAATATTATAGGAAGAATGGTAGTGTCCATGTTTTGCTACGGGAAACCCAAAATATGAGTCCGATCAATAAGTAAAATAGTGGTCACAATGGCACTATGTAACAAAGATTCTGTGAAAGTATTAAATTTCATTCAGCGGTATAAGAGGAGTTGCGGATAAGAGATGGGTACCCCTCAATACTATAAAAAAAAAAATAGCAGTTTTCTGTTGTGCTATTGAAAAACCGAAATATACGTCCGATCAAAAAGTAAAATAGAATATGCACAATGGCACTCTGTAACAAAGATTCTGTGAAAGTCTCATAAAATTTTACTCAATGGTATAAAAAGAGTTGCGTACCCCAAAGCGTAACGGACGGACGTACAAATGGACAGACGGACGGACGTACACCCCCATCAATATACACCCCTGTTTTTCAAGCGGGGGTATAATAAACAACACAAATGGAAAACTATTGAATGCAAATGGAAAAATCGAATATTGCAATGTTTGACGTGCCATAGACAATCAATAAAATTTTTAGTTTGCAATGATATTCTTGTATCGGAATGGTCCTGACATGTTGATCTGCAATAGTTAGAGTTTCTAATGTTTCATTTCGACCAAGCTGTACATAGAAGCCCAAGAATCAAGATTGTCATTGACACTTATTCTATATTTTCAAGTACTAGTATTTAAAAACTAAGTTTTGTTATTGGATTGCAAGATTTGACATTTAAATGTAAACATGTAGAGCTTACTGTTTGACTTAGAGGTACATGTAAAAGGTAAAGGTCATAGGTCATGATGCACTATCATGTGATGAAACATTCACAAGTCAAATATCACAATCTTTAGCTAGAGGATGAAAGAAAAAATCCTTTCCGTATAGATTTCGCCCAAGCAAAATACATTGACTTCAAAGTCAAAGATCAAGGGCATTATTTTGGTTGGTCAGTTGGGCTGTGTATTGGTTTAATAAGAAATTGATATATTTATATATTGTCATAATCATTTACCAAGGTTATAAACATAAAGATAAATAATGATTAGAACATAATCTCACAAGAAGAAAAAGAATTCAGGGTTGATTGCTATAATTGTTCTATTTTTAGTAGGAAGACACAATTACATAATCTAGGGTGCATTTAAGCATTTGTTCCTGTATACGACTCATATTTCCTGGACTGGAGCAGAACAAGTTATTTGTACTGTAAGGGTTTAATTCGCCTTTTCACGGTAAATGCGATACTGCATTTTTGCAGGGGAAATTGATATTGTTTGATGACATACGGCATAACAGCATAACAGCAATTGTATCAAAACATCATTTAAGAGCCATTCTCTGTAATGACTTTAACTTTTATATAGGAACTGTGGCACGCATAGTCTCAGAATTTCTCCAAACTCTCTATGATAAAAGTCTTTGATACCGTAAACTCAAATCAGGCAAAAATTGGTTGCTACGTGTCATGGTTACCATAGCAACATGTCTTAAATTTTGAAAAATGGCATTTTTCAACATGTTCACAGTCCCACAGTTAACGTTTGCAGCAAAGCAAACAAGTGGCAATGACTGTTTCTGAAAGTTGAAGGCCTGATGTCTTAAATGCATCATAAACATGTTTGGTAAATGAACTATTACATACGTTACTATGGAAACAAAGTATTCAAAAGTAATAATTTTGTTCATTTAATTTTATATAGTCATATACTTAAGAATAAAAACAATTATAGGTTGAAATGCAAGCAAATAATAGACAGGAGATCCTTGTAACGTATACCAAGGACGAAATATAATATTTCTTATAAGTTGGCAATGGTTGCCATGGTTTTAATACCACAAAGGGATTTTATATTTACTCTCTTAGTAGTTTAATCTTATTCTATCTTTTTACAAAGCATATTTCTATATAACTGATGATCAATTTTTAAAGGCGTTGGTGTGACCCTAATTTTCACATTTCAAAAAATTCAAATTCAATTCTTTAAATAGAACGTTGCTATGGAAATTAGCCGAAAAAATATGCATAAAAATCTGAAAAATATTCTGTTTCCTTGGATACGTACCCTTGAATGTAGATTCCCAAAACTTTTATGATTGATATATATGAACAACTAACCTGACTTTCAATTTTGACTACCAACCAATCTCTAACTGGATGCAAAAAGCTGGCACATAGGATTTAATATTGATATAAAATTAACGAAATCGAACATTTTCCCTTCTTGGTAACCATAGCAACAGTGTTGTATTTTTCAACAAACTTTATCAATATATGATATTCAACTTTAGTTCTACCAGATAAGTACTATTCAAGGTGAGTCAAATCATTTGTTCCTTGATTAAAAGGTAAGTAAATTCCTAAAGCAGTAAGAAAATATCACTTTAAACAACTGGTACGTTGTTTCCATGGTTACACTGCAAAGTAACAATTAATCCCAATTTTTCTTATGTTGTCGGTGTTGCAAGGTCCTAAGGATGTATATGTGCCAGTCATTAATTTTATTGTTTTTCCTCAAGATAGTAGCATTAACCCAATCTTAGCAACGAATTTTGCATCGTTACACTGTGTTACCATGGCAACCATAAAAGTTATTTTTAGAATAATATTGCCAATACCTTATTACTTAAGGTCAAATATTTTTATCGTTTTTCTTCGATTGTTGATTGAGTTTGATCATGTAACATCTATCATTAGTGAATATTGAGCGTTTTTCAGCATTTTTCAGCATCTAAAATGTATTCCAAATGTACCCATGGTTACCACTTACTTATAGATAAATTTTAAATAGTTTCTTTACAGCATAAGTTGCAACAAGGTGTCATGTTTTTGTGAGAATAGTTTGTTTGTTTTTCTTAGTCTTTATTAAGGCTTAATAAAGATTCAAAGTAGCTGAAAATCTCAATTTTTTCAACTTTTCTGCCTGTTACCATGGCAACCAAGACCCATAGCAACGAAATTTTATTTGATATATGTTTCTGGTGTTAAGTTGTAATAATGGGCAAAGTTTCATCAAAATCGGTGACCATGCGTGGCAAAGAAGTTTAAGTGGTTACAGAGAATCGCTATTAATTACTTCGCCAAACTACATCAATTTGCCCTGAAAAGAGCAGTAGCGTAGTTATCGTAAAACAGTTCATTCTTTTTTTTTTCATAGAACAGTTTTTCCCATTACGCTTGGCAGAAAAAAATATGAAAATATATCTTCAAAATTCAAGAACTGAAAGTCAGTTCTATCAGACTGAAAAAACACTGTATTTTGCGAATGATGTTTGAATAATTACCTGTAATTATGGTTAATTAGTCATATTCAGGATGCTAGGATATAAAAATAGAATCACAGATGAGCTGATTGACTACAAAGATGTTGTTGCTCGTCATCTTAACGAAGAGTCATCTATTTCCCACATAGAGCTGAAATAATTTCACATTTTACGGTTGTAGTAAAGGTGATAGTGGTGTTTGTTAATTAAATTATAAAATCAATAAATATATCTCTCTTTAATATTTAACGTAAAGTGTTTTTTTTTTATTAATTTGATGCTAGTTCATCACTTTATTTTGAACAAATTATCGTCGAGAGGATGCATTAAACACTTCAAACACAAGGAAGTTTTCCTAGGGAACATCTGTCAATCAATTTCCTTAGTTTGAAATGACATATATGCACCATCCTTACATGATAGGTTAATACAAATAATCCTAATCAGATGTCTCTGTTCCGAAAGAAATCTAAAAAGTTTTGACACAAGAAGGGTAATATTCTTATCAAATCTATGTGACTGTGATGTTGTCATAAACATGTTCTGCCCTGGGTCTTCTTCTGGTTGTCAAGTATCGTGGAACAACACCAGAACACCTTAAAAGAATCAAATTACGTAAAGATAAGTATCGTGAAACATCATTTCTACCCCCAAAGTTCAATGCATATACATGTAAAACTTAAATGTTCTGAAAAATATCTTTACAATTAGGCTGTGTTTAAGTGTATGTAAAAAACATGGCTGAAATTGTTAAATATTCTATTTTATTTGACAGTTATCTAACATGTACCAGCAGGGCTGACAGTGTTTAATTTAAATAAGAAAAAGAAGATGGGCACAAATTATATCTATTACATAATGTGTATATTATACATGTTCATTACATTAACAAGGTATTGGAGAAACATTCTTTGTTTTTGCTTGTTTGTTTTTCTCAAAACAAAGTGTTGGATCTCTTTTTTTCAAAAAACATTTTCTTGTTTCATTTTCTATTGAAATCAATTTAATCAAATTGGTCAATGGACATAATAATACATATGGTATGTAATAAAGAGGTCTACGTCTGTCTAAAACATCTCTGTTTGAAAACTTTTACTTTACAATCCAGGCACATACAACGAAAGTAAGATATGTATGCCCTAATGTATCACAAACGAATACAAGTATATGTATAAAAAGTATTGGGAAATGAATTCTTATATAGATTGAACAACAATTGAATAAGGATACATTATTGAATAAATACTATCAATTATACACATCCTCATTTTTCCTTTATAAAGACATTCAGTACTTGAAAAGATAATATAGAAAGTAATTCATTCAATAATCATATAATATTACATCATGTTGACCTCTAAAAACATCAGAGGTGGGATCAAGTGATATGGAGTAAGTATCCCTTGTCTACCTGTCACATACGCTGTGTACTCCTTAATTGTCATGATTGGACACACGGAAAAATTAATTAGCAGACAATTTAGTATGAAAACATTGGCGTAACAATTTGTATGAAAAACGTCAGTCAACATTCGACTTAACAATAGATTGTATTTGCTTACAAGGTCATTGTTTCGACCATAGAATTTGCAAAATGTTGACTTTAAACGAAACTGTTGATATCCTTGTATCATCAACTTAAAATGGCAATACTTTGCCTCGTTTTAAAAATTGTTCGTATGTAGAACATGCTCATGTGTATCGAATCAAATGGGAGGCATAAGCTCCATATACAGGTATTAATGGTATATTGCTACATAAATAAGGGAAGTTGACGATAGAAAAAATTGAAGTCAACACGTTTATCATTAAGTTTTGTTGTTAGTTTGCCATGAATGATATTTCATAGTAAAATATCCAAATATGAAACAGCTGTGTCAGACTCTATGGTGTCTTTTATTTCGACATCAAAGGAATATATCAAATCAACTGTAACAGGAAAGGAGAAAATGTATGACTGAACCGGGAATCGAACGCGGGACCCCTGCATCACTAGTCAGATGCTCTACCCAGGACGATATCCACGGCCCAAACCATTACATTCCTCCCTCCTTATATTGTGTTTGCCCTCGAAGACACAGCCCAAGTTCTTATTAGCGCCAGGCAGGACTTTTACCTGCAAGTCTAGGGGTGGTCAGCGGCACCAAATCTGTAACAGGAAAGGAGAAAATGTATGGCTGGAGCGGGAATCGAAACCGGGATCCCTATATCACTATTTAGGTGCTCTACCGACTGAGCTACCCAGGCCGATATCCACGGCCCAAACCATTACACAACGTAGGTATGAAAATGAATATTTGAATTGATAAAACGTCATAAATATATTTAAATGTCGAATTGAAGACTACAGCAAGAGACTTCTTTTCATACAGAAGTTTTTGAATAAATTCTGCATAAATTCTTCATATGAATACAAAAATAGGGCTGCTAATAACGGGGCGCAATTAGTACCCATGGGAATTCCAACAGATTGTTGGGAGATGATCTCCAAAAGCTTCAGAGATTGTCAATTAGAAACTTAAGCTTCTTTTTAATGTCAACTTCGGAGTACTTTTATGTACAAGCAGTATCGTTTAACAAAATAATTTTCCAGATGACCAATGACAAGGTATGTAAAATTCGAGCTTCATATTTATTGAAAAAAAATAGCTGTATATGATGTCAAAAAGCCTGGACTTTAATTTTTCGTAGGGGAACGGTTGTATACAGTGTTGAAAGACGTACGATTTTATTTGGAATTGGTAAAAAATTTTTGATTTCAAATATTCTAAAAGTTCCTTGTAGTTTTTAAGTATTAAGATCTGATTAAATCACGTCTCGAATATGTTGTTTTACGGTGCTTCCGAAGTTTTCCATTCACTAGTACTACTGTTAATATTTTGGTGAGGAACAAAGAAAGAGGCTTGGTAGAACATTTACCGAAACTAGCTATGTATCTTTGTTTGTAAGAATTTTATGTAGTTTAGGAATCCAGTACAGGTTTGGTAATTCAAATTCAATTTGATTGTTCGGAATATCAAAAATATTTAAAACTGACATATGATAATAGAAAAGGATATTTTCAATAAACATTAAAATATTCATAAAAATCTTATGCTTTACTCTGATGGCAAAAGTTACCTTTTCCTGGTCACCCTACCCAGCATAATTAATATAAAAGCACCAACTGTTGAACAAATAGCCACTATTATTATTGTTCGGTTTCCAACTGAAATAAACAAATGGTTATTTTTACTTTTTGATTTTGTAAAGATTATTTCACATTTTCTAAGTAAAATAAACAGATAAGCATCTTACTTTTTTTTGATTTTGTAAAGATTATTTTGTATGTATGTCATTGCAAAACAAGAAAAACTTGGTTGACTTACCCACCCAATGCTGTTTGAATTCGAAAGGTGCTGAAATATAAATTGAATAATTTTGTAAACATCTGGTAGGAAAGAATAGATATCTATTTTGATTTTAAGATATAAGTTTATGAGCTGAAAAATCTAAATGATAAATAAAACTACAATTAATTGAAGTATTAAAACTGTAAATATTGTTAATTTTCTGATACAAAGGCTTCTCATTTCATCCAATAAATATCAGCTTTAAAGTGTGTGTGTTTTTTTAAAATCATTTTGACGATGTAAGTGTCCGAATGTCTTAAGACGCAATGAATTCTAATCGTTACATGCTTAATTATTATTCTTTTAATTTTAGCTGGAACCAAATATTGAAATAAAATTATTTTATATAGTGATTTCCTTTTGTATAAAGAATAAATCTGAATTATCTAAAAAATATATGTTCACAATAACATTTAAGGAGGTTGGATCCTAATATCAAAAGACTTAAGAATTTTTTGTCAAGTATATTTTTAGTATCTACATACATAGCTTAAAAACCAGTGGAAAAAATTGGGGTCAATACACTTCCAATATTTTTTATCCAAATGGATCATTACAATGAGACATAAATATCAGTTGGATGGAAGCATTACAATGAGCAATTCAGGATGTATAAAGTGGGGGCATGAGCACCCATAGTCGAATTGTACATGTACATTGTAAGCGAAATCCACATACTAGTCAGATTTCAGCCAGCAGCATCCTTATCTATCAGGATATCACTTCTCGTAAGGGGCTAGACAAGGAGGTTTTTGAGCAATTTCGACCTCCAGCAGACCAATAATAAAAGGGCATAGGAATTTAAGACCACAGTTGTTTACCAGCTAGGGTAGATAGGATCCCCAGTTTTTATATAACTAAATATCTAACAAGACTACCTAATATTTTGCTTGATAGTTTATCAAAAAGATTCAGTTTAAATAAGATGGGGTCAAAGACATGTAGTTTTTCAGTTTTTCAGATGTTCTGCGTAGGCACATTGGTTCAGTGAAAATTATAAAGGAAGTCAAAGGGGGTCAGGCTATTTTTCCATTTTCGAAGCCGTGTCCATTTCACATAATCATGAACTTCTCTAATCGCGCCTGTACCTTAATTGAATGGTGGACTGATGATTATATATTTATTGTCCTCTCACTCCTGCCCCTCATTAAAAATGGGGGTCTATTTGCTAAATTATTTATAATCTATTTGCTATAATTTCTATATTTGTCACAATTTGATGAGAATTCATACTAGTTAATTTAAAATATAATTCGGGACAAGCACAAAACATTTCATTGTACAAAATAATTCTGTATGCAGTCTGCATGGAAAAAACAGGAATCCGAACACAACAGAACTGTGAATGCTTCAAAAGAGAAAAAAATGATCATATTTTTCTGAAAAAGCCTTCCATCATAATATAGTTTCTCACTTAATAATTTTTTGCATGGAATTTATTCTTCTTCTTATTTTTGATTGAATATAGTTTAATTGGTTTTTTTAGAATCCATTTATTGTCAGAACTAAAATATGATGCAGAGTTTTGGAAATAGAGGTCCAGACAAAAATCTACACGTACTATTGTGAACTAAAAAGTTAGCAACTGCAACACCCTCACTGTTTTCTACTACACACTGGTAACTTCCACCATATCCTGGTTCTTCTTTATGTAATTGTAATATTCTGTTGTTTCCAAACAACTGAATAACAAAATCTGCAAAAGTACAAGAGTTGAGCCCAATCAATCCCAAATCACTTCAATTTGATCATGACAGAGCAGCATACTGTAATTGAAGCTAGAGCAAATACATATTTATTTAGATTGACTGAATTGTGCCTGCTGTATTCATAACAATATGACTGCAGCAAGCTGTCATTATAAGTTAACATGGATTGAATCGACGAATATTTGATCTTTCCAATATAACTATAATTAATTTGAATTGAGAGAACTATATATACACGATTTCCCACGAGTATGAATTTTAAATGAAAGTTATTTTTTGATATTTAGTCTAATTTGTATTTAATTAGTTTTGAAGCAACAAATCCCAAAAAGTGTTTTATGTCCCCGAAATTAATACATTACCAGCTGTTAAGTGTACTTTATTAGCATCAATATAACGTATATACATAAAACAACATTGTTATTTGGTGAACAGAGTGGGATAAGATTTTTTTAAAATAAATGTCAATGTATTTCTTTTTTAATTGATGAAATGGATTAGATCAGAAAAATGTTTTCGATAGATACATGTAATTTATGAAAAAAGTAGAAAAGGCGAAAACACCTCGTAAAGTCTGTAATTTCAGGTATTGTAATTAGTAGAATCACATGAATATATGTGTACCAAACCTTTTTCATTATTGAAAGAAAAGTAAACCTATATACTGTAGATCACTAAATATTCGCGACATCTTTTTTTCGCGAATTCTTCTTATTGTTATATATACGAGGGGTGATCAAAAAGTTCGGGAACTATCTCCGTATTTACAAAACAACAATTCAGATCAAAATGAAATATGGCACACATATAGGCATACATATGTTCTATAAATAGCAGATATGTAATGTTTTGCTCCATGTTTGTGACGTCACAATGTGAAAATGACGTCAATACGTAAGTGACTTGTGACAAAAAATGATTGAAACAGTCGTACTCGAGCAAAGAACGGCTGTAAAGTTTAACGTGTATCTTGGAAATTCCTTTGCAGTAGCATATAATAATTTGTATAAGGTTTATGAAGATAAAAGATTTGCCAGAAGGTCAATCATTAATTGGATTGATTGTTTTAGTGAAGGAATGGAGATGGCTATAAATGATGTTTGTTCAGTGAAAGCAAGCTGGGGAAGAGACGTGTCCTTAGTTGAGCAATTTGTTATGAAAGATCGCCAAGTTACAGTTAGAAAAATGTTTGATTGATTGATTGATTGTATGTTGTTTTACGTCCCAATCGAGAATTTTTCACTCATTTAGAGACGTCACCATATACCGGTGAAGGGCTTCAAATTTTGACCTTTACTCGGCACTTAGGGCCATTGAGCAGTGAGGGATCTTTATCGTGCTAACGCCTGCCGTGACACGGGGCCTCGGTTTTTAAGGTCTCATCCGAAGGACCCGCAACTTTCACTTCAAAGTGCCGAGCGCATGGCAAAGAAACAGTTGCTACCCATTGTTTTATCGACTTAGGTCAGTCGCGGCCGAGATTCGAACTCACGACCTCCCGATCACGGAGCGAGCGCGAAAAATATTTGAATATCTTAACAATAATATAATTATAAAATTCCTAAAGTATCGTTTACTTTAGACTTTAAACATATCAGATATGATAAAAAGAAGGCGCCCATACTTTATCCACATTGGATAAACGACGCTCCAAAGACAGAGGACTAGGGTTGAGATGATCATCCTGCTCATTCTGGGAAAGGCTATCCTTATACACCCATCTTATTACCGAGATTATGCCATTTCTGACAAATGGACTGTTCTTGTTTTAAAAAATAACTTGCATGATAAGAAATATAAGACTCGGAAAAATCTTTTAGCTTCTGTGAACAGAACGCTACGGAGCATGTCACGTGACCGCCTGTATCACGTGATTCGCGAATGGGCAGAACGGTGGCACATGTGCATTTAAATCGGAGAGGACCACGATAAAAATAATGAACACTGAATCCTTATTTCATTTTCTTTTATGGAAGTAATTCAATTAGTTTGCGAACTTTTTGATCACCCCTCGTAATCTTTACTAATAAAAATATATGCGAGAATGATATTCTCGCGAGGAAATCGTCTCGAGTAATTATGCGAAAATAAAATTCTCTTGAATAAAAAGTGATTTACAGTATATTTCACCTTAATATAATCAGAGGTACCTTGGTATGAGTTAATAACTTTGCCGTTTTTCATCCATTTGGTCACTCCTGGATTTGCTTCCCCTGGCGCAGAAACAGCATTGCATGTTAAGATTATTACTTCACTAGAAGAATTTTCTACAATCTTGGTCAGGAAACGTCTATTGTTTTCAACAAATTTCGGAGGGGCTTAAAATAACGAAAAAGTAGAAATTAATCTCCAGTTCTTATTCGTGGTCGATCCATAAAAAATCTTTCTAACGTTTTTCATTCAAAATGTCTTTTACTCACAAGTAACATTAAGAAATGGATTCTGGGAAATGTTGCCATCGGCTATACATTGATATTCACCCTCATCATCAAAGGTTACATTCATTATCTGTAGTTGTCTCCCATTCTCTGTAATGTTGTATCTATGATTTATTTCTATGTAAGAACCATTTTTGTTTTTCCATTTTATAACAGGAACTGAGCTGGAAAATAAAATTAAAGTTCAATAAAGCTTTGAAAGCATTTTCCGTTATGTTTTTAAAGATGAGACTTTATTTTTATTTGAAAGCAGTTCTTATCTTTAAGAAGAAGCTCACCTTCCAGAGAAAATACACCTCAGTATACCGTATTGACCAGCAACTGCCTTATATCTACTTTTATATACTGCTCGAATGGGGACAGTTTCAATTCTTGCATCTGATTCTAAATTAAAGTTATTTTAAGATATTCAAACAGTATTACATATGAGAATGCAGTGTATTATTAGTACTTCACTACTTCAGGAATTCCCCATTTGACTTAAGATTTAGCTGAAAATTTCAATAGTTTATAGATTAAGACTAATTTTTTAATATTTATTTTTATTTTTTTTTCGTTCTTCTTGTTCCAGAAAACAAAGATTTGGATATCTGAACCCCATCTTTCTTTTTTTAAATCAAAGGTAAAGATTATTATGCATACCAAGCACTAATATATATTCAGTAAATTTGCAAAACACTGGACGAAGCTTGAAAAATCTTGGGATTTTTTTTTGTATTTTGTTAACACTTGAATAAAGTCAAATTGTACCTATGAATCTTCAAGTTTAATTATGAACTAATGCATCATAAAACTGAACCAAAAAGGATTTCATAATTTGGAACATATGTGTTTGTTTCTGTTCAGTTTACCATGAATTTGAAGTTTTATTGAACCTCCCTTGACAAATGTCTTTGTGCGTTCATTCCAGATTCCACAACCATATGTTCTGTTGCCATCAGATTTACTTACGCTTAGAAAATGAAGGTTCCCTGTAAAAATAACATTACATTTTTGTCTAGTGAGCTTTTCTAGATATTGTTTTTAGTTATTAAAAGCTCTTTTGAAATACAGTGAAAACTTTGATGGCGATCTCGTTTATGAAAGTTTTTTCATTACCTCCACTAAGTAAATTCTCAAAAAGGTATACTTAGCTTCTTTTCGTACGCATGATATACTTTCAATTAAATTTTGTTACCCGATCCATCCACAGCTGTTTTATCTTTCATATATACAGTATTCGAAGTCCCAATTCCATATTTCCATTCTATATGACACTCATTTCTTGGTTCACATCTAGGTTTATCCTGACAATTTAGCTGGCAATGTTGTTTTTCTTCACAAGTTTGTGTAAATGTCATTGTAGGAAATTTATTAAGAACTACAAATATATTTTAAGAGAAAAAATTAAAAGGTAAATATTGCAATGATAAGACAAGAGAACTAAAATATATTTGCTATCGAAAATCAAAAGGTCATAAGTGTCAGAGACAATGTCCATCTCAATAAAGGTAATACTGTAAAATCACTTATATTCGTAAGGTTTAATTAAATGAAAAAAAATATTGGTTCCTGAAGATTTAATTTCATGGTTGGAATTTACAAATGATACTTTAGTAGAAATTATAGCATTTTGCGGAGGACATGAATTCCAGGGTCTCTTCATACAGTAAAACAGCAAAAATTAATCCTCCATGGAAATTAGCAAATTACAGTACATATAGGAATACACACCAAATCTTCTCCTGAAATAACGTAGATTTATGTATTGTGTACATATAAATTTGACCCTTTTGAGTATTTTCCAGGACGTTTTACATAAAGAAATGATATACTTACCCGCTTCAGAGATCTTGACAAACAAGGACACGGAGGTTCCGTATTCATTTTCCGCCAAACAATAGAAAATCCCAAAATCGCCTTCTGTGAGATTTTGAAAGACAATTTCGCCATTCTTCTTGTTTACAGCAATGCGCCCATTGCTGTTGAATTTCATGTCATTTTTAGACCAATAATACCTAGAAAACATGTCCAACCGATAGAATTGCATAAAGCATTTTACATATTGCTTCCTACTTTACATTATAGAGTACAGCTGAGATGATATTGACTACACTGATGTATTGGATTGTAATTCATTTTCATTGTCACCAAAGGAGACATGGTTAAACATACTTACGTGATCTCACCGTTGTGAGCACTACAGAGTAGAGTCAAAGGAGAAGAATGAAAGCGAGGTAAGAAATACTCTTGCTTAAACTCTGACGTTATTTCAGGAGGAAGTTTGGATGGGTATATTCCTGTTGGTAAGAAACAAAATTAACTTAGGACTCATCTAATTAACTTTTCAGATATTAAAAATTAATATAACAAATTAAATTGAATTATAGAATAATGAGAAAAACTCAATTATAGAATTCATTATAATATGCTTAAGTAAAATACATTACCGTAAATATAAAAAAGAATGCTGCCAAGTACGAAATATCTCATCACGCGTAATTCCTATTAACATATATATTCAATATGCTTTTAATTGGTATAGATTTAACTCCGACACAACGACCATAGAACAAAATCCAAGTGTGCAATTCGGAAAACTATGCATCATCGTGTAGATTGTTTCTCAAGCGAGATTATTTTGATTCATAGTTTCCTTTTGGGGCTTTTATTTCAGGAAATGCGCTTTCCTCGATGGAATGTCTCTTTATAAAGCATATTTAATCAACGTTTAATATACTCATCAGAATGATATTCTAATATATATATACGTTTCTCAGATATTTCTGCAGGAATGCTAACTTTCAAGTATAAGTAAAACTTGTGTATTGTAATCTAAATTTGAAACAAATGCCACATCGATATAGGTCAAATACAAAATAATTTAAGTTCAAATTTCATTTCCATTACTCCTCTGACTTCATTGAACTTGTTTTTTGTGTGTCTTTTTATTTTTGCCAAAAAGCACGATACAGAATAAGTTCTAATTTCATTTTTTAGGAAATTACAACGTTATATATTAAAAAATAATAATAAAAAAAAGACAAGGAGACTATATGACATTAGAATACAGTTCCTGAAAGTAAATGTTTAACAATTATGCAATAAACCAGAAGTCTCTGACGAGACTATAACTTTACTGGTATGTATTTATGATAAAGAAATATGCATCATAGTTAGTCTACTTGTATGTAAAGTTTAATCAGACCAAAACTGTAGGGGAGTAGCGTTTGTAAGGAATTCAAAGAATTCTCTATTTTTAGTAACCATGCAAACACCATTTGCAGTAATCTAACACCGATAAAGGGAAATATGTATCTTAGTATAGTCCACTTATGTATAAAGTCTTATTTAAATTGGATCAAAACTGTAGTAGGAAAAAACGTTCTGAAAGAATTTCCAGGAAGTCCTATTATTAGTAACGTTGACAACATCATTTGTCAAAATCAAAACCGATAAAAAGAATTATGTATTTAGTATTGTTTTCTGGTGTAGCAAGTCTTTTTTGAAATTGGACCAACATTATAGAAGCAGTTGTGTTTTGAATGCAATAAAAAGAAATTTCTTTTTTGTAACCATGGCAACATACAGTTTAACAGAATCTTAATATTGTCTGCTTATGTACCAAGTCTTATTGAAATTAGACCAAAACTGTAGGAGCAAAAGCGTTTTGAAAGCATTTCAAGGAGATTTTCAACTTAAGTAACCATGGCAACCCCATTCGTTGAAACCAAAACCTATATACAGAATTATGTATCGTAGTATACACCCCTACTAATGTGTTCGGAACATTTTATTTTTCGGTGTTCTGCAAATTATAAAATCCGAGGAGTTCCCAGTAGCTCTCACAGTAGCTCTGGCGAGATCTAGCGAGACTACAACGAGATAAGGTAAATTATTCATGGAAATATGGCTAGGAAGTGACTAGCACGTGGATACATGGTAAACAGAAAAGTTATCTTGCGTTTCATTTTTCACCACTGAATAATATCTTTAGAAATGTACTTCAATATCTCTTGAATTCATCCAAAGTATTCCTCATGACATTATTTTCTGCACTCATGTATTATAATTTCTTTTTGGACAAACATGCTTGCATGGGAACTGGGACTATATTTTTTGGCGATAGATTAGCAAATGGGGTACCAATATAGGTTAATCTGAATGAGTTGAATTGCATTGTGGGTTACTACGGATACTGCAGGAATTTTACGCTTGAAAAATAAAAACATTATTTTCTGCACTCATGTATTATAATTTCTTTTTGGACAAACATGCTTGCATGGGAACTGGGACTATATTTTTTGGCGATAGATTAGCAAATGGGGTACCAATATAGGTTAATCTGAATGAGTTGAATTGCATTGTGGGTTACTACGGATACTGCAGGAATTTTACGCTTGAAAAATAAAAACAAGGCGATCGGAAAGGCTCATAGAACATTTTTTCCATGCATTTGAATGTATTTTCATGCTGTCCATTTCCATACTCACAATTACAAACAATTCATTAGTAACATGTTAAATAAACGTGGAATTCTAGGTTCATCAAAGTCATACTGTATGGCGATTTTCGTCTGCATTCCTTTGTTGTCCTATCGGTGAATACAATTGTCAGGTGGGTTCCCTGACCAAAAAGCACAGATGATCACGGGTATTGTAATATGAAAAAAAAATGTCCAATGAACTGTAAGGAATGCCGCTCGTTTTCCTTAGCCTTGAAGCGCTAGTGTTCTAAACGTGGTACAGACTACATTTTTATATACATTTTCTGGTTAACAACGTAACAACAAATTACAAACGCCCGTGGCATCTTTCATAGTTTCTACTTGTTATATTTTTTCATATAAACCTTTTTTTTTTAATTTTTAATTTTTTTTTTTTGCAATCTATTCAATATCGATCGTAGATTGAGTTGAACCACGTGTTCGAAGTAAAATGTAAACATATAGGTGTCAAGTTAACGTTACTATTCATTCAATGATTGGTCAATTGTTGGTGGTAAGATCCTCTGTGCGTATTAATAACAAAAGCCATATAAGGTAAACAAAGGTTTGTCATATACATTTTTTTCTACCAGCGTATCGGGCGATTTTGGAAAAATTAACACTACTAAGCTCCAATTTTCGCCGTAAATTATCACACAAGCAAAGATTAATTAAGTAGATTGTGATTTTTTAAATCCCACCCATTTCTGTTTAAAATCTTGAAAATCTTTAAGAAAGTTTTTAAAAGAAACAGATTATAGCGATTTCCTGTTTACTGCCAATTTTATTTATAAAACCGGTTCTACCCTATAACCTTTGAATGGGTCAACCTACACCACGTGCCTTGAATTTAAATCACAATAACATTAGTAAGGGTGGTATAGTTAACCTATATACCAAGTCTTATTGAAATCGGACCAAAGCTGTAGGAGGAGAAGCGTTTCGAAAAAAAATGTTCACGGACAAACGGACGGACAAAAAGACAGGTGGACGGACGACGGACACCTTACTAATGCATAAGTTCGACTTCTTCTGGTCTCTGACTAGTGGAGCTAAAAATAAGCCTCCAAGTATGTTACTAGTACCTAACATATATTAATTTTTCAAAATAGTTGACCTCTCCATAAAAGATTTTTAAGCTTCTGAAACCTATAATTTTCTGAAACCTAATACTTTCAGGATTTGAACAAAAGGATGACGTGCCAAACGGCCCTTCGGTAGTTTGACAAAAAATAAGTGTCTGGATTTTACACGAATTTTTGCAAATACTTAGTCTTTAATATTGTTTTACCTTCATGGAATTCCACTTTTACAGAAAATAGAAAGATCATGTGTAAATATACAACTTAATTTCAAGTAGGGGTACACTGTTAACATCCAATGCCCATTCCTTTTTAGCCCCGCCAAACTTTACAAAGTTCTTAAAATACATGAGCCCAACTAGGTATATTTTTCTCTCTTGGTTGGTCACTGCATTTTATCATAATCTACCTATATGTGAAAGGAGAAAATTGTACCTAATAAATTGCGTTCAATTCATGTAAATAAAACATTCGAAAATCCAATGGCCCACCCCGTTGTAAACGATTGTTACTTCCTGATGTGAACCCCCTTGACCTTTCATAACCTTACTGACCTGTTCAGATCTAGATGAACACTTAACTATTTTTAGTATACGTGTATCATGTGGTATATATTCTTCTCAGATGTGATCGATGCTACTTGTAAGACCATACCCTCGCAATTTTGGCTTATTTATATCAGTAGATAATAAAGCAATAGCGTTGTTCATTGTTGATTAGAATAAAATAATAATTATCTACTTAAAACTACATAACCGTATTTTGATAATTAAATGATTGCTTTATGTTTCTAACCCCCATGTACATATGTACTTTGATTTCGACTGGTAAACATTGTCACGTTATATGAAAACCTATTCTATCTTGAGATGCTTTTCCCTCTATTGTACTAAGACCTGTCCTTTCTTTTCATCTTTATAGTTAAAACAACAAATAAAACAACATATGGTCACAAACCAGGATGAATTTTGCTCTAACCTGGTCTTAAAAAATCAACGATAATGCAGTATTCCTCATAATTATAAAGTATCCAAACTATTGAAAAACTGTTCATAAGGTGTCGTTTTTATTTACTCCCATTTGAAAACAATCAAATTAATTATAGATTTATTAGAATTCGTCGTAGAAAAAGGGGCCTCTGACATAAGTTCTGGCAATTCATCCTTTGCATGTCAAACAAACATTCATTATTTGTCAATTTTCCTGTTTTTTTTTCTGGGTCTATCTAAATATGTTTCTGTTCATGATAAGTATCGCAGTATTATTCAGAAAAAAGACTTCTCGTTTCTTTATCTTAAGTGTCTCCAAGGCTTCTTGAAAATTACTGTTATCATGCATACAAATTGCTTCTAGCGGGAATTTTCTCAAAATGAAGGAAAGAGTATTTCGGATGCAAAGATTCACTCTACCACGCCTCTAGATGCGCATACGTCCAAAAAGCTTGACTGACAGTCCGTGAACAGGAAGACAAATGGCTACTGCGCTGCACCAGGAACTCAGCATCTGGGAAACAGGCACTTCGAAAGACTGAAATAAAGATTACCTAAAATCCAGAGACTCGTGAACTAAGTGCATCGTACAATCTGCGCTGCAACTGATGCATGGTGGACATAATCGCTGCAATACAACTGGGGGAGATCAACAGATATTTGTTACTTTCTAAAGTTTAAAGGTATCAATCCACGTTTCAATGAAATATCGGTGGTTTTAATTCAAGTTTTTTTCTTAAGTTAAAATCTATTAAATTGTTAATATCAATAGATAAAAATATATAGACATGAATATGTTTATTTTAGATAAACTATAGTTTACTGTACTATTTTTATATTAGGCCTAGGGAGGTCAAGATGCCTACGCTCTTTTTTTTTTTTTTAGTTTGTAGCGATATTTACATATTCATCACATACATTCCACCAAAGGCTAAAAAGAAAGACACATTCAACACTTACTTAAGGATTATTTTTACTCAAGGTTTCAGTTGATAGAAATTCATTGGTATAAATTACAAAATCTTAAATTAAAAACTGTTTAAACAGACAAAATAACCATACAATAAATAAATAAATATCAATATCTATATTTAAAATGTTACAATTTGATAACAGTATTCAACAACAAATGTAGACCCGATTATGCAAGGAAGTTTTTATTTTCTTACATAAAAGTTGTTTAGGTCTTAATCAGAAACAAGATTCTTACATATGAACTTAATTTTAAAGAATGTCCTTACAAAGTCAGTTATTCTTATACAAGGTATTAATTTCTAAAATTTAATTCAAACATTGTATACTGTGGAATCATCGTTGTTCGTGGGGGATCAATGTTCGTGGATTTCGTGGGTCACCCTTACCAACGAATTTACATCCCCACGAACAATTTTTTGTCAATGTACTGATTAATTAAATCTACCAAATAAACGAGCTGTCCACGAAATTACACCCCCACGAACAAATAAAATTTTGCTTGCCCACGAACATTGACGCCCACGAGTTTAAATGATTCAACAGTATGACTCAGCAACTCATATTCTGCAAGAAATATTTTCGACAATCATTATCCTCAAATACATGGATATTAAGATTGATTATACTGTTCGTTATTTTCATATTTCATGAAACACTCTCAGTCACTTGATTCAATGTTTGTTTTGTTTATTCTTTCTCTACAGCTGCTACTGTATATTCCACTAACATTTTCTGAAAAATCATAAAGGTTAGATTCCGCATATTTTGACGGTATAGTGCTACATTTCCCCAAAATACTGTATTGATTTTCAGCACAAACTTCCTCACCCTGAATTTGTGTATCTCTATCGGTGCGTGTATATTGATTTTCAACATATGTATATTCAGGTTCCTCGGTAATAGGACCAGTAGTACAGTCGTCTGGATATGAGTACAGATTGCTAGTTCTGGCAATCTGGAATCTTGCAGTTAATTCTTTGTCTTTTTTAACGATGCAACTTCTACAAAATAAATTGATATCACTATTGTTTATTCGTTTATTTACAATGTATTTTCAAATTTAAAATATCCTGAACATCACAGTATTTTTCTCACCTTTTATGTATGAATATTGCAGCTACACTTAATAATAAAAGTCCAACAAAAGCTATAATAGCTATGAACAGATCTAAAGACTCCAAAATGCGATCTGAAAAAATAAAGTAAAATAAAATAAACATTGAATAACGCTATGTTACAGGTCCAAAGAAGAAGATCAAAGGGACAACGAAGAAGATCAAAGGGACGAAGAAGAAGATCAAAGGGTCAAAGAAGCAGATGCATGGACTGGTAACATTATAAACAAACCCATAGGAAAACTGTGGTCAAACAAGCGTATCTTCTTTTCCAAGTGTTTATAAAATACAGTGAGGCTTATTTCAATACACAATTTACAGAAAAACCTGCCTCTACCTCTTTTGGATGCCCCTGCAAATCTTTAACATTTTAGCCTTGATTCGAAGCATACTTGCTACCAAATTTACACTGGAAACTGTTTATAACTTTTAAGATACTAATATATTGTAAACGGTTGATAAAGAGTGGGAATGCAAAAAGTGAAGATAACGAACAGTGATCAATTTCATAAATCCAGTAAACAAAACAGATCGTGAACAGGACAATTACAGGGATTCCTCGACCAATGCACAATTTACAGAAATCTTGCCTCTGCCGCTTTTATTGGATGCTCCTGCAAATCTTTATTACCGAGGCACATATCATAAGTTTTTTTTAGCATCAAATTTCTTTATAAATGTAATTAAATTTTACTTACTTGACAGATGATTATCTGATTTAGCTAAAAATTGGACACACATACAAGATGATTACTGTGGTGCATTTTATAATGCAAAAGAAACTTTAAAATTTTTGAAAAAGCAAAATAGTTATGAGGTTCATAAAAACCATATACTAGTATGCAAAAGATAACCGAATCTCTAAGATCACTAGTCGTTACTTTATATTTTGTTACGTACGAAAGTTAATTATCAATGTCATCATTTTCCATCGCTATATTATAAATAATTTATTTCCAGTCCCATTACAAACTAAATCATTAATGTTGAAATGTATGTACATTTTAATCTTTCCATTGTCGCTTGATAAAGGTGGGATACTAAGTAAAAATTTTCTCGGAGAACATTGAAAACATAGGATTTAAAAAACTCAAATATTCTAGAAAAAAACCTATCATCATGTAATATTAAACTTAATTTTAAAATTTAAAGTTAAATTAGGAAAATAGGGTGATATTCAGAATACTGAAGGAGTTAAACGCATATCGAAAAAAAAGCCATGGTAATTGCCTGATTTAATTTCTTTTATCACTCAATGAAGGTGTTATCATACTGGATAATAATATTCCATAGGTTACGAATCTTTGGCAAGGATTACAAAAATAGATTTAGAGAAGGAAAAAAATATTGAAAATATAATTATTGATTAAGTTTTTTAGATAACACATTGAATTTACTCGTTTCCTTAAATGCGCAAAACATAGGGAAATTAATTCAACAATCTAACAAGATGACATAAGGAAAGTTAAAAACAAAGCACTGCTAGTTATGGCTTATGATTACATTTATTTATGGAATCAATAGAGCGTGATATTAGCTTATCAATTAAGGCATTATGCTAACATCATATGAACAATGCAAAAATAATAGAAGGTAATATATAAGCACCCAGTTTCTCTACGTAAAAAAGGTATCAGGACTAAAGTAACAAGATGACAAACAAATGAATAAACAGCCAAACGCAAAGTATTCTATCAATAACGCTGAAATATGTACATTTACAAAGATCTTTGTATAGTGATAAGGAAGTTCCTCTTTAGTCACCATGAACGGTCAGTGAGATGTAATAAATGCACATAGAAAGACAAATGAAATGCCAGTGAAATCTACCAGCAATTCAGCACCATTCAGTCACTGAATGCCGTTCTTTCACTGATAGTTCATATTTCTCCCTGTGATAGTACAGCCAAACCTTATCCGGAATCTAGAAACTGAGATAAAATATCTTAGAAATATTACCGAAATGGAGTAAAAAATTTGACACTGCAATCCCTTCGCTATTTTCTATCACACATGTATAACAACCAGCAGCGTCTGAACTTTCGTTGTAAATATGAAGAGTCTTTTTGTCCTTTGAAAGCTGGTATCTAACATCTATTAAAAAAGATTTATCATTTGTCATAACCAAGCTTTAATTTAAAAGCCAAAAGCTAACCTCCTCCATTATTCTTCACGTCTTTTTCTCTTTTGGGTAACGGATATGTGATATAAGGAAAGTTAAAAACAATGCACTGCTAGTTATGGCTTGTGATTAGATTTATTAATGGAATCAATAGAATGTGTTATTAGCTTATCAATTAAGGCATTATGCTGACATCATATGAACAATGCAAAAATAATAGAAGGTAATGTATAAGCACCCAGTTTCTCTACGTAAAAAAAGTATCAGGACTAAAGTAACTTTGAACAGAGGGCCGATGATCAATTCTATCATTTTCATAATTTGAATATAATTAATATAAGAATAATAACGTTTACGCTAGAAATAAAAACACTATTCATTATACATTTCTAACACAACAAAAGGAAACCTTGATCCAAGATCTTTCCATTCTTCATCCATTTGATCACAATAGGCTCAATTTCGGCCGATAAGGACATTGCGTTGCATAGGAGAACAGTTGACTCTTTTGTCGAAATCTGCACTATTTTTGTCATAAAACGTCTACCAGCATCGGGAAAAATCGGAGGGGCTAATTGCAAAATTAAAAAAAATCAGTTGTTCTCGTGAAAATTAAATTATGCTTCAATATATATCTAATCGTAAAAAGAAGATCAAAAAAACTTTAAAGAAACAAAACATACATATGACATTGAGGAATGGATTTTGAATTAGGCTGCCGTTGGCTATACATTTATAGACACCCTCATCATCAAAAGTTACGTTCATGATTTGTAGCTGTCGTCCATACTGACCGACGATGTATTTGTGGTTTGTTGTTATGTATGTTCCGTTTTTGTTCTGCCATTGAACTTTTGGAACAGGGCTTTTAACAGGAACAAAATCTATGATATTTGCATGTGAAAAAGAAACAAAAGTTTTGAAATTGCCTGATGTGTTATAATTTTTGAAATATCGTGCAAAATTTGGGGTAACCAGATTATGTTTTAAATCTAAATGGAAAATACTTAAGAAAACATACTTACTTTCCAGAAAAAATGCATAGAAGGGTAGCATTTTCTCCAATGAAAACTTTGTAGCCACTTTGATAAACAGCCTCTGGAGAGACGTTTTCAGTAGAATCTACAAATGTCTCTTTTAAGATGCTTAGTGGTTCATTATACAACAAATTATTTTTTTTGTAAAGATGAAGCTTGACAAGCAAAGATTTGAAGGTGATAATTATTATTATATCCAAGTGTGAATTGTCTATTGCTGTTTACGTTATCAACCCTATGTATATTGTTTTCTATAACCATGAGGAGAAAGGACAAAAGATGTCCATTTTGTAAGTGGAAAAAAGTAGAGTGCCATTGGCCTCAGATCAATCTATGATTTGATTTGAAAATATATACTTGCAATAAATATATACAATGGGATTGGGCATTCTTTGAATATCGATAGCACTAATTAAGACTTGTGACTTCCATCAATACAATGAAATTAAAAGATGCGCATTTCGACAAATTGACAAAGATGTAATGATTTCATGCACAATTTTCTATGTCCACAAATTATCTAAACGGTCTTGAACAGATTTTGATGACATTAAAAAAACATGTTCCTTTTGAATCCCGAGAATGTGTTAAAATTAAGATGTTTCAGATGTTTGAATAATTTCTGTGTAAGTGCTTTTTTACCCCCGATCAAAGAATATTGCAAGTGAATTTAATTGGCTGGGAATGTGTCATATTGGAAAAGGAATAACAATTTTAATTGTAAATTCGATGGCCAAATTATAACAAGTAAAGGAGATAACTCTTGCTTTTGTACACAGAGTTTAGACTGGCCAAGATAAGAGCTCTGAGATATATCCTGTTAACAATTAAATTGTCCTAGAAAAAGTGTAATTGGTGATACCTGAGGAAAACAAGTAGAAATGAAATCTCAATGCATTAAACACTTTTAAATTGATTTGTAAAGTGTTCGATACCAACTTCGATTTGTACTCTCTATCAATAAAATTTAAGAATTATCTGTATTAATGTAACACCGGTGAGGATCATTTATATGTTTTAAATGATTTTCCAGGAATAGTAGTAATATAAAAAGATAAAAGAAAGCAAAGAAATTACAATGACGAAATTTATCTCATCTTATACATGTTTAACCAGAGGTAACACGTACATTGTACGTAAATATTTAAACAGGTACATACATATTTATCAAACAGGTACATACATATTTATCCAAAGGTAACACGTACATTGTACTTAAATACTTTAAGAGGTACTGACCTGTAGGAGATCAATACAGTCATAAAGACTTTACGCTTGAATATCATCTTTCGTGTGTAGGGTAGATAAAATATTGTTTATTTTCTCCTTGAATTGCCATAATTACATCATGTTTAGTTATGTCTATACTTAACATGTCAGATTTTGTCAATAAACACAATGTTCAACCTACTGCACCTTGTTAATTATTCTTAATCTTAAATTGTTATAATTACCAAATAAATGATATATTTTAACCTTGATTAATTGAACCAACATGCATATATTTTTAAGGAAGGACATTTCAGGTTTATTATATGACTGTAGTCCACTCTTCCTTTCTATAAGGTCAAAAGAACAAAACGAAAGGAAATACTAAAGAAAAATAAAATAATCAAATAACAGTAGCATTAATTTAAAGGTGTGTGTGATGTTGTTGTTTAGATTATTTAAAGTAAGTTTTACGTCAATTCGACCACTGGCCTTAAACAACAGTTACTTCTTTAACGTCTGAAAAAACGCAACAAACCAAAAATCCACTTACCATTTATCTGGAGATTTGTAATGCTGCTCACTTTGAATACATTGATCTTTTCATTCCACATTCCACAAGTGTAATTTTTTCCCCGTCAGATTTACTTATGTTCAGAAAATGAAGTTTTCCTGAATGAATTTTTTCTTCAATATATTAGAACTTATTTAATCTTACTCTAAATGTGGTTTCTAAGTTGAAAATACAGATATTTTTAGTATAAATTGGCGCTGTAGCCTTTGGAACATCTATTTTAGCAAACCTTCAATTGTAGATGATTTACAAGATTTTATTACCCTCACGATCCATGGTTTCAGATATGTTATTAAACACATTTTTTGAGGTTCCATATCCAAGTTTCCATTCTACCATACATTCAGTTTTTGGTTGGCAAAGTGGCTGATTATGACAGGTAAGTGCGCAATGATGATATTCCCTGCAAGTTTGTTCTTCATTCGATATTGGAGAAAATTGGTCAAGAACTAAAATAACAAATAACGGCAACTTTAGTTATGTTTGCTTCAACCTAACTGACGAGTATATAGACACAGAAAAACATTTCATGATCAAGATATAGCTGATGATATTGCAATTAAATCTGCAGATTTTACCAATCCCAAGTAACTATTCACACATATAAATGCCTTAAATTTGAATGGTTCATTCGTTTCATTGATATTGCAGCCATAAAAAGGTTTTTAAATTTTTTTTGTGTATTTTGGTGGTCACTTCAAAATATTCAAAATGTCTGAAATATTTTTTAATAATTCAATAGCAATAATCTCACAGCTATATATGCACGACAATGAAACACATACGTATTTTCAAATATCACTGTGTTATAATGTTTGAACATATTCCTGTATCTTGGAATACTTGAATAAATGGGAAAAATCTAAGTATTATTCACAAGGAATTAAAGCAATATTCCCTTGTTGTTAATTGTGTCTTATTCAAAAAGACCAGCACATGCCAATTACGTTAATTCTGTTAATTTTTTTTCTTTAAATTACAACTTACGGATGATTTGAAATTGATACTATTCTTTCTCGATCTAATCATCATCTTGAATTTGACATTTTATATAAATTATGAATGCTTTACCTACCTGCTTCCAATAATTTGACAAACAATGAGACTGAAATTCCAAACTTATTTTCTGCCATACAATAATAAACACCAAAGTTCTTTTTTTCTAGATTTCTGAAGACGATTTCACCAGTTGACGGATTATAGGAAACGCGATCATTTTCCACAATATTCGAATCATTTTTATACCACTGATACCTAATCAAATGATTAAGATATTAGATAATTAAATCAATAATTGTATTCTTTTTGACATTATTAAGTATCAAGCTTTTCATAATCATCTCGCCATCTGCCAAAGGTAATCATACATTATTACTTACGCGACTACAGTGTTATTTGCTTTGCAAAACAAGGATAATGGAGTAGAATGAAAGATCGGCATAAAATACTCCAGCTCAAACTCTGATGTTATTACAGGAGGAAGATTAATAGACTCTGCTCCTTATAAACAAAAAAGTTTTTATTTCAATTTGAAATCTGCTGTTCGAGTACAACGTTCAAATCTGAAAAAAAAATTACCTTTGCAAAAGAAGAAGTCTCTGACACAAAGAAAAAAGAGTCCAATCACTAGGTTTTCCATCATGGTTTCTGACGTATAGAATGTTTTTTTTAAGAAAACTTCAATACAAAATTTACTAGGTCGTTTCTGTCATATGTGGTAAATACATATGGGCAATAAAGAAAATAGGAAACAATGTTGGGAAACTGATTATCATACATGTATGAAGAAAAAGTGCTTTCTAGGAAATTGTTTGATACAAAATTATATACTTAGGTCCTCATCTTCCTTATTCGCTAGGGTTCGTATTCATAAAGTGTCTGACCACATAAAGCATAGTTTTAAATGCCATTTTAGCAGAGATCTAATGACATTTTCACTTATGAGGTTACTTTGCTCCAAAAGTAATGTAACAACAGCTATAAAATCTTTAAAGGTCGAATCTTATCAACAGAATTTTACATAATAATACCCCTATCTATTTTGATTTTTGAATTAAAATTTCATTGTTAAATAAAATAGTTTTTTAATACTCGTATTAAGATATACACAGCGTTAGATTTTGTTTATCGCCGCACGACAAGAATGTTACCAAAGTTGTTATGACTTTTCTTTTTGGCACTTTCATTTTCAGTTTATCCGCAAATCTTTTTAACCTCTGGCATGCTTTACTGCCGTTTTACTACAAAGCGTCTTGTTCTGAGTTGTATTTTTAAAATAATTTAAACTTTGTCCAAATATTATTTCTAAATCCATTCATTTTGTGTAGATCTCGTGTTTCATCAGATTCAAGAGTGGGTGATATTATAGGTTGGCTGATCGTCCATTGTAGTATCCGCTAATGATAAAACGTCGCTTAATGATAAAAATATCATTAAGCGTCGCATTGCAACGCTTAATGTCATAAATTATTACATTTATAGTTGACATTCTTAACCGCTTATTGATATAATTCTCTCATTAAGCGTCGATTTAGCATTAGCGATTGAGAATGTCAACTATTAATGCAATAAGTTATGGCATTAAGCTTGCTTTGCAACGCTTAATGATATTTCTATCATTAAGCGGCGTGTCATCATTAGCGGTTGCTATATTCACTTTTTCCTTCCTCACTTTAAATGTCGAAAAGTTTATACACTAACTTAACGCTAGACTTAGAAAAATTGCTTCTAATAAGAGAAATAATAAACATTATAAAGATACAAAAGTTGCATTAAGTACCAATGTAAATGAAAGTCAAAAGATGGACAGATGCAAGGAAGAAAAAAGTGCGTCGAGGATGAGCCTTTTACGTCACCTCCTCTGAATCCGACGCTACGCTTGATATACATGTACGCACAGCCAAATAAATATGCAAATGCATTATGGTAAGTTAAAATATTTTTATGTAATAGCTTAGAAGTAGACGCTTCAGCACAAGTTTGTATTGTACATGAAATTAAACGTATATCTGAGAGATTAAAATAGATTTATTGTTGAACTGAAAATGAGTCCCAAAGACAAACGTCATAACAACGTCGAAATATTCTTGCCATGCAGCGATAGAAGAAACTTGACGTGTTTATTTTAATATTCTAAAAAAGTATTGAATATATCTGAAATGAAATTTAAAAGCAAAACTCACGACAGATAGCGATATTTATATACATAATTTTGTTTGTAACTTTCGATTATTAACGATTTTTCAGCAATTGACATTACTTTTGGTTCAACACTCGTACAGTGCAGGAAACTAATATTGTTACAGCATCGATGCTGATTTGAATGCTTCATTTGCTTGCTGATTTGAATGCTTCCTTTGCTTGCTGATTTGAATGCTTCCTTTGCTTGCTGATTTAATGCTAGTAATCCTTATCCCGATGCTGTTTTATAATTAGGTCAATGCTACCGGAAGAAGCATCATGCTACCGGAAGTAGATAATGAATTTCAGCATTGCCGTTTAAAGCAATAAAAGTGCCTTTTACAATTATTTGATCATAGTATCTCACTATGTATCAATAATGTGAATACTTTAACCAATATTCTTTCTTTCTTTTTTAATTTTTTACTGAATTAAAACTCATTGATTTTCTGATGCTAGTAGGATAATGCTGATTTTATGTAGGTCAATGCTGGTTTTATCCTTTGCTTGCTGATGCTGATCCTGGTAATGCTGTTTTTTAAATGCTATGCTGATGCTAGCTCTATCCTGATGCTGCTAATGCTTATGCTGATGCTGGTTTATGTAACAAAATTAGTTCCCTGCACTGTATATTGAGTGGAATTTGTGAGTTCTACAAGGTATAAAACATAACATGGGACGTTTTGACTTGGTGAAGTGAAAGACAGAAGTTCATTGCTTATTTTTCGGGAAATATTTCTGCTGTACTCTATATAACAATGTATACAATTTTTTTCCTGTAATCACTCGGCCCTCTATCATAATTTGTTTACTGTAAAAAATGATTAGAGAAAAAATATGTTTATTGTTAACTCTAGCACAATGGACACCTTAAATAGTCTAATACCTTGATTTATCCTGGTCAAACAATTTCTGGGGATATAATGTTATAATATTTTTATCAGTCACAAGCAATGTCTTGTGATGAGAAGGAAATTAATTCTCCATATACAATAAGTATAAGAATATTTTATTAACTTTGAAGTTATTGAAGAAAAAACAGTTGATTCTTTAGAATTCGAGAAAACAGCATTGCTAGGGTATATTGTAAGATTTCAGAAGACAGTATATTTCTCCTTGTAATCGAAAGTCCCAAAATTGGAGGAGGAAAATGTTCATGATTATTTAGAAATTTTGAACCAGGTAATTTTACAGATATTTAGAAATTTTAAACCAGGTAATTTTACAAAACTATGTATGCTAGGGCAGTTGCAGATCTTCTCAATTTTAACCCTTGAGAATTATTTAGATATCTTTACACATGTATATAATATATACATAATTAATCATTATCTGAAGTTTTCGAAAATCCGTTTCAAATACTCTACAGAGAAATGACAGCATTTAATGCGGGATAATAATAATAATAATAATAGTAACATCTTCTTGAGTGACAATTTCTTTTCAAATATTTTGCTAAGATTTTATCTTCAATAAATAATATTTTTACAAATTAAAAATCATATTTCTCAAAAATGAAGAAATTTCGGAATGGGACAAGCCTAGAAGATATGTCTTATACAAGATCATTTCTGTATGTCACTGTCGCATAATGAATCCCGAATCCTGGTTCAACTTATCTGAAACACGGACTGGACGAATGAAAAGAGGATATTTCGCTGAATTAGAAAATACAAGACTTATATATAACTTGTCTATCATGTTTTCCTTTTATATATTTTTAAAGGTTAACTGGTGCTTATAAAATTTCTTACTTCATGCTTGTTATAAATTACTGAAGTAACTTGGTTATGGAAAACAAGAGGCCCATGGGCCTTAATGCTCAGCTGAGTATAATGATTTTTTTCAGGCTATGACCACTACTTTGGGCCCACCTGGAACTGGTTTAGACTTATATCAAATATACTTTACAGTTTGATGAAAACTCTTTAATCGTTATCAAATTTATGCAGCTTGTCCCCTATAAATTCATTAGTAAATGAAACATTGTATAATAAATTTCAATATATGACACCCCCAAACAATATTAAAGATTTTTTTCTATTCCTACATAAAACTTTGATCCCCAACTGCGGCCCAATGACAATGACCATGATTGAGACAAACTTGAATCTGCATTACCTGAAGATCTATCCTGGTATATGATGACCATGTTGTTCTTGAGAAGAATTTTGAAGATTTTTCATCATTTCAGTCCGGAATCCCATTTATGCAAATAATCTATTTATAATTATGATGAAAATATGTTTACATGAAATCAAACTTTGATAAAATTAAGAAGATAAAAGTAAAATTGACTGATGAGTCTACAAAAATAAATATTATTTATTTAAAAAAAATCTCCCAATATTTTCCTGTGTCAAAAGGCTGTTAACCTAAAGGAAAATTTACATTGGCAAAAATATGTGAACATTTTTATTGCCATTAATGGTAACTTTGATGTTTCCTTTTGCAAAACAAATCTTTTTGTACGACATTTACAATACATGGCATGATCAATATCAACATTAAAAAAATATTGATGTTAAACAGATTTTCAACAATCTATAGTGATAGAATACAATAGAGTACAATTATACAAAATTATTTTCATAAGACTTGGTAAAATGACAGAGTGTGACTTCTAAATATAAATGACTGAATCAAAATTAATTATACAGATTTATTATTTTTAAAGAAATTGTACTGTGATTGCAATATTAAAATATGATTAAAGTATGTCATTGTAAAATTTTTTAGTCATGGGGAATTGCACCAAATAAAAAAAATACATTATCCCTATAGGCACTCTCCATCTGAATTGAAAAGAAAAGAAAAGAAATTAAATATACGTACTTTATTATATATTTGATGGATAATCAAACTTCTGATTAGAGCATTTCGTATGCCAAGTAACATCCCGATAAAGTCAACGAATTATTGACTCTATTACAGAATCATGCATTATTGTTTTCTGCCATTGAGTATTCGTTTTCGTTTTTCATATTTGAAGTGACGTCATAAATACCAGTGATCACATTATTTGTCCTGTCATAAAATTCACAATGCGATGATGTATTTTTGGCGCGTTTCGT